TTTTTTCTTATTTCTGAATTAGTTTGTGTTTTATTCATTTTATTTTAGTATTCCCTTTTTATTGATCTATTGGGTTTTTTTGCTATATTTCTTTGTACAGTGTTTTTTAGCAATTGCTCTCTAGATTAAAATATACATATCTAAAATTTCACAATTTCCCTACAGTTACTATCTTATCACTTCCAGTGACTATAAAAACCTTATAGTCATATAGATTCCTTTCCTCCTTTTGCTTTAATTGTAATATGGGATACCTCTATATACATGGAGAAACTTCTCAGACAGCATTGTAATTTTTAATAGTTGCATGTATTTTAAAGACCTAGAATAAGAAAAATAATCTATTACATTTCCCAAATTATTTATCAATTCTGGTCTTCTTCACTCACTCATTCTTGAGTTTACAAGTTTTCTTTTAGTTTAATTTCTTTTCTTTTTTCTGAAGAACATCTTTCAGCATTTTTTAGAGCAAGTTTCCTGTCAATCAGTTCATTGTTTCTCTTCACATGAAAATTCCTTTATTTCCGTCATTTTTTTGAAGATATTTTCACTGGCTGTAGAATTCTGGATTATGATTATACTGCCTTCTGGTCTCCCTGATTTCTGATGAAAAATCTGAAGTTGTTAAAGCCATTGCTCCCTATACTTAGTCATTTTTCTCAGCTGCTTCAAGATGTTTTCCTTTATCTTTTGTTTTTACCAGATTATGATGTATCTAGGAATGATTATATTTGAGTTTAACGATAATGGGTTTTGCAGAACTTCTTGTTTTTCATCAAGTATGGGATGTTTTAGACCATTATTTCTTCAAAACTTTTTTCTGTATCAGTTTTTTCCCCTCCTCAGATTCCAATGGCACAAATGTTACACATCTACATATTGTTCTGTAGGTCCCTATTATAACCATTTATTTTCAATCTTTTTCTCACCCTTCTTCAGTTTGGATAATTTTTACTAATCTATATTCAGTTTTAATGGCTCTTCATCTATCATCTCCATTCTTTTATTAAGTCCATACAGTGATTCTCTTCTTTCAGATATTATATATTTTTTCAACTTTAAATTCTCCATTTTGTTATTTTTATAAGTTCTACTTCTTATTTAAGATGTCTTCTTTCTATTTGTTTCAAGAGCTTCCACCCTTCCTTCATTGAACATGGTCATGGTAGCTGTTTTGACGACTGTCTATAAATTTTTGTCTTGTCCAATTTCTGAATTCAATGTAATTGAAATGTATTTATTGCACTAGTGTTTATAACATTTGTTATTGGTTTTTGGTAAATTATAAAATTTAAGGGGATTCCTTTCATCACTATATAATTAAAATTTTAATTAGAAATAACTTCTGTATTTTATCAAACTATTCTTCAATATCTATTAAAAGATCATAAAATGCCTTTACAAATGTTAATATAAGATATTATATTGGGGGGTTTATGATATTGAATTACACTTGCATTCCTGAAATAGTTTTGTTTTTACATGGTGTTTTACTCTTTTGACACTTTGCTGAATTCTATTTGTTAATATTTTGTTTGTAACTTTGAATCTATATCAATAAATGTTATTTCTTGCTAGTTACATTTTTTCAATGTTTTATAGGTTTTGATATTGACACTATATTGTTTTATGAAATGAGTTATGAGAATTTTTTTAATTTCTATGGTCCTTTATCTTTTCATACATGTTAATTTAATGAGATTACTTACCTTCTTATTTCTTTTCTAGCTTTGGGATTATTCCCCTTTTTGTTTAATATCTTACATAAAACAATACTTATAAATCTATGTTAATGGACACACAATCTGTAAAGATGTAATTTGTGACAATAACAAAGACAGAAAAAGATATAACAGAGCAAAAATCTGTATACTACTGAAACAAAATTAGTATTAATTAAAACTTTGTTACCATTTTAATTCTAAAATAATATACAGAAAAAGAACAAGAAAAAATCAAAAGTTGCGCAGTGGAAATCAATTAATCACAATTAAAGCGAATAACAAATATTTATGAGGAACTGATATGTATCATATAAAAACAAATAACAAATGGTAGAAATAAATCCCTCTGTAACTGTATTTTAAAAGCATATGGACTGAACTGCCCAGTTTTAGGGCAAAGGTTAGCAGAATTATTAAAAATACATGATGCCAGGGGCACCTGGGTAGCTCAGTGGGTTAAGCCTCTGCCTTTGGCTCAGGTCATCATCCCAGGGTCCTGGAATTAAGCCCCACATCAGGATCTACACTCGGCAGGGAGCCTGCTTCCCTCTCTCTCTGCCTGCCTCTCTGCCTACTTGTGGTCTCTGTCTGTCAAATAAATAAACAAAATCTTTAAAAAAAAATACATGATGCCAGAATGGATTTAAAAAGAACCTTCCTGTATATGCTGTCAATAAGAGACTCATTTTCAATTCAAAGTCACAAATAGGTTAAAGTAAAAGGATGGAAAAGATATTCTATGCAAATAGTAACCAATAAAAGCTGAGGTGGCTATATTAGTATCAGACAAAGTAGAACTGAAGGCAAAAATTGTTATGAGGGACAAAGAAAGACATTATATATTGATAAAAGTGTCAAAGCATCAAAAAGATATAATAATTTCAAATATAAATGCATCCAACAACAGAGACCAAAAAATATAGGAAGTGAAACTGACAAAAATGAAGGGAGGAAAAGATCTAAAATAATACTTGGATACATGAATACACCATTTTCAGTAATGAATAGAACAACTAAACAGAAGATAAATGAGAAAATAGAGGACTTGAACAATACTATGAATCAACTAATCCCATCAGACATATATAGAACACCCCATCCAACAACAGCAGAAAAAACCTTTTTCTCAAGTGTACATGGAATATTCTATGGGATAGATCATATTCAAATTAAGCATTAAAATTTTTAAATATCAGTATTCAAAGGCTCTTCTCCAAAACGAAATGAAACTAGGACTCAATGACAAAAGAATACTGTAAATTCATAAATATGTGGAAATTAACCACCACAGTCACAATTAATCAACCAATAGATCAAAGAAGAAATTACAAATGAAATTAGAAAATACTTTGAGGAGAATGAAATGAAAACTTACCAAAATTCATGGGTACAGCAAATGTAGTGCTCTGACAGAAGTTTATAACTGCAAATGCCTGCATTTAAAAGAAAGAAAGATCCCAAATCAATAACCTAACTCCAGATCTTAAGGAAATAGAAAGGAAGAACAAACAACCTAAACTATCAAAAGAAAGAAAATAGTAGGGGCGCCTGGTGGCCTAGTCATTAAGCATCTGTGTTCAGCTCAGGTCTTGATCCCAGGGTCCTGGGATTGAGCCCTCCATCAGGCTACCTGCTCAGCGGGGAAACTGCTTCTGCCTCTCCCTCACCCTGCTATTCTGCCTGTTTGTGTGCTCTCTCTCCCTCTCTCTCTCTCTTTCTCTGTTAAATAAATAAATTAATAAATCTTTAAAAAAAGAAAGAAAGAAAACGGTAAAGATTAAAATGGACATAAACAAAATAGAGAATAGAGGAAAACAAAAACAAGAAATTCCAGACCTCATGGCTTCACTGACAAATTTTACCAGTGATATTTGAAGAATGAAAATGGATTCATATTTGAAGAATGAACATGGATTCTAATCAAACTCCTACAAAATAGAAGACGTGGGAACACTCTGTAACTCATTCTATGAGAACAGCATCATCCAGATACCAATACCAGATAATGACATTACAAGAAAAGACAAGTATAAACCAATATTACTTATAAATATAGATACAGAAATCCTCAGCAAAATACTAGAAAACTAAATATAATATTACAGTATACACCATGCCCAAGTGAGATTTATCATAGGAATGCAAAGATGGTTCAATATGTAAAAATCAACCATGTATTGGATCTCGTTAATAGAATTAAGGTAGAAAACCCCAAGATATCTCAATTGATGCAAAAAAAAAAAAGCATTTGGCAAAATCTATCACTCTTTTATGATAAAAACACTCAACAAACTAGAAATAGAAGGAAACTCCTTCAACGTGATAAAAAAACATTTATGAAAAACCCACAGCTAACATCCTACTTAATTGTGAAAAAATGAAAGATTTTCTTTTCAGATCAGGAAAAAGGTAAGATGGCTGTGTTTACTACTTCCATTCAACACTGTACTAGAAATTGTATATAGACACTTAAGCAAGAAAAGAAATAAAAGGCAAAAGGAAACTGGGAAAGAAAAAGTAAAATTATCTTTATTCAATGACATGACGTCGTAAACAGAAAATCCCAAGGAACCCTACACACAAAACTAGATCTAATAAATGAATTCAGCAAAGTTGTAGGATACAAGATTAACACATGAAAAGCAGTTATAGTTCTACATACTAGCAATGAACTGTCCATAAAGGAAATTAAAAAAAAAAAATCTATTTACAACAGTATAAAAAACTCAACAAATAAAAGCACTAGCCATAAAAAAGAATAAAGTACTAAAACATGCTACAAAATGGATGACCATCAAAACCAGTGTTATTGAAAGAAGCCAGGCACCTATTGTATGATTCCATTTTTATGAAATATTCTGATTAGTTAAATTCATAGAGACAAAAAACAGATTAGAGATTTTCAGGGGCTGGGGGAGTGGACTATGGGGAATGACTGCCTAATGAGTAGTAGCTACCTTTTGGAATGATGAAATGTTTTAAAACTACAAAAAAAGTAATGGTTGCATAATATTGTGAATGTACTAAGTACCACAGGACTGTAAACTTTTCAATGACTAATTTCACGTTATATAAGTTTTATCTCAATAAGAAATAATGCATGAAACGCTAAAGGCATTATCATCATCATTATCATTACTATGGAAAATAATGATTCCTGAATTTCACTTTAAAAAAAAAAAACTTATGAGAGGAAGAAAATAAGTAGACTAAAATGTAAAACTAGATGGTTTAATTTGGATAATATGTTCTTGTCTTCTCTGTTTTCTCTTTCAGATTATGTCTGGCCACTACCTAGATATTTGTGCCCCGTCTGGATTTCTTTGGATGTTTTATTTTCTACAGCGTCCATCATGCACCTCTGCGCTATCTCGCTGGATCGGTATGTAGCAATACGTAATCCTATTGAGCATAGCCGTTTCAATTCGCGGACTAAGGCCATCATGAAGATTGCTATTGTTTGGGCAATTTCGATAGGTAAATAATTTTCTTGGCCATTAGAATTGCAGCGGCTATGCTCAATACTTTCGGATTATGTACTGTGAACAACGTACAGACGTCGACTGGTAACATTTGCGTTTAATCGGGATTCTATTTAAGAATTATTCTTAACCTATATATCTGATATTTAGGTTAACAATAATGATAGAAATGTAATGTATGTTAATATATAAATGTAAAGTTTCTATTTATGCTGTTAAATTATTTTATACATTAGTATGCCAATGAATTCTGCAACACAGATACACAATCTTTGAGATATTTAAAACTAGTTGAAGACAAAGATATATGGTCTAAATTTTTTGAATATAGCATTAAAATCTTCCAAAAGATAAATCTATCACAAAATATTAATCTTAATGTTTTTATTCTAATTTCACATTTTCTTGAGTGGAAAAATCAATAGTGTCACATGAATCCCCTGAAGTAAACATGTCGAAATTTATGCTGTTAATTGACTTAGAATATATTACTTTTCCTCTGTTTTAAAATATCTTCTTAGATTCTGCTTATACAAAAAGAGAAAGAAATCCATTTTTTAAAGATCTGGGGGAAGTTGAAGGGAGAGAAATGATCATCTTATTGCTTATGATTGAGATATTGCTTATGATTGAGAGATGCCTTAAAATGCTAATATTCAAGTCACAAAATTTAACCAGTTGGACTGTAAGGGCTTTTACAATCTTTTTTTTTTTTTCCTTTTGTTTCCTCCTCTTCCAGTTGGAACTTATATTTAGTGTCTCATTAAATGATCCCTCCTCAGAGTTATGTTTCTATAAAAGGTTCTGGTACAGTTTAGAACAAGATCAAGATATCTATACAGTCTTCATTGAAATCATCTAAAGATTTCAACTCTGGGATTATTGATAAAATAAATTTAAGTTTTAAGATTGTTCTGTCACACACACACAAACAACATACACCTTTGGATAAAAAGCAATAAAACTTCTCCGAGAAAAAAAGTGAATCTATTGACACAATTTGACCTACATATTTAAGGGCTCACAGAGTTGACTTCCTCCACTCCAAGGAGCTCATCTTAAAAGATGCCAGTTCTTACGGTGCTTACAAAGAAAATATACAGCTAAATTAAATTAGAGTATTAGGGGCATCAGCTTCTAATAATGACAGATGGGCAATCTGCAATGATGTTTGTGTTAAAGACAACAAAAAAGTATGGAAAAATACTATTAACATTGAGAAGCTAGTAAGATAGTGGAGGGTCGAGAAAAAGACAGAAATCTAGGAAGAATGACTATGACTTTTGGGTCACTTTTGACAAGGATGCATTTCCTAACCTGAAGATGTGACTCAATGTTGAGAAGTTGATTTCATATTCTCACAAGCAAAAAAGGTCTAAAGCAGGAATACAGAGTATGGCAAAGGGTTGACCAACTTGAGCTTATTTTTTGGATGCCAAAGACCTGTACACTAGAAATAAAGATGGACGAGGCTTAAACCACTTTTGACATGCAAGTCAGGCCAGGATTAAGTTATGTGTGTAACCAATAAATATCTGAAGCCTGAAAATTGGCTTAAGGTGATTTCATACTTTTCAAGTTTTTGATTTCTCTTGTATAAACAAAAAATCACTGTACACTTCAAATTATTTCTTGTAATAATTTTCAATTCCAGTAGCTAGAGTACAGTGATAAACAGTTATATGAAAAGACAAAACGGCATGAATCAGATATAATAAAAGATAACACAAACTCACTGTCACTCAGGGTAGTGGAATTAGTAAACATAAACTTTAAAGAAGTATTTATATTCTGCCTATGAAAATTATGAGCTGAATTTAAATATTTCAGCAAGCAAATACAAACTACAAACAGGGACGTGTAAGATTTGAGAAGAACCTGGAAAATCTGGAGCTTAGGCATAACACAAATCCCCAAGAACTCAAAGGCAGTTTAGACATAACTAAAAAGAGCATTACTGGAGGTCAATTAGAAGAAACAGTGATGAACAAAGCAAGGAGAATTGGAAGGATACAAAAGAGAGAGAAAAGAGTAAGAACAAACATACAACGTGGGTGGTGCAATAGGTTAAGTCTCCAACTCTTGGTTTCAGCTCAAATCGTGATTTCGGTCATGAGATCAAACCCTGCATCAGGCTCCACACTCAGCATGGAGTCTGCTTAATTTTCTCTCTCCCTCCCTTCCATGCCTGTGCTCTCAATCTCTCTAAAATAAATAAATAAATTTTAAAAACAAAATAAAGAGAGAAGACTTTTACAAGGTGAGAAAAGAATGGCAGAAAGGCAATATTTGAAGAAATAATGGCTTTTGGAATTAAGAAAGATGCTGATTCTCACATTGAAAGAGCTCAACCTCAAGCAGAATTAATAAGAAAAAATCAACATTGAACCCCTCATAACATTACAGAAAAAAAAATCAATTTTAAAGAGGAAAAATAAAGAGATAATCTTCAATAGAATTATGATAAGATGAATGAATATTTTCTCAACAGCAATGAAAACTAGATGTTAAAATGACAGTGTCGATGTGCTGATAAAAAGTGCATGCTAAATTAAAACCATATACTCAGCAAAATTATACGTCAGGAATTGAAGTGCAATGAAGACTATCTGGCAAACAAAAGTCAGGAGAACAAGACAAAATCAGACTCCTACTTAAGGAAATCCTAAAGGATGTTCTTAAAGCAAAGGAAAATGGCCACAGATGGAAGATAGAAGGTACAAGAAACAGAACAATGAAAATGATACATGTTGAATTATTGTGTTGTGATAATGAAACAAATGAATAATGAAACACATGTAACATTGTGTGTCAACTATACTCATTTTTAAAAAAAAAGAATCACTGAAAAAAATGAATAATTGAAAAAAATGGTAAACATATGGTTAAAGAAAAGCATTGGCTGTATAAAAAAAATGTAATTATGTCTTCTGAAGCTCAGAATATTTATGGAACTAAAATTCACAAAACAATAGCGTATAAGTAAGCAGGTTGAAAGTAAGCTTTTTTCATTGTCCAGGAAAAAGATAAAAATGATATTTAATATTAAGCTTTGATGAATAAGGTATAACTTGTATATTCAAAGTCAGTCACTAATAGAAAAGGAATGTTTAACTTCCAAATTTAGAGGAATATTATAGAATAACAAAGCAAATCCAATAGGGGGCAGTAAAGGGTAGCAAATATAACACAGGTCAGGTGGGAAAATATAAAAACAATACTAAGATGGTGGAATTGAAACCAAATGTATCAGTAATTACACTAATTGCAAACGGAACTCAATATTCTGATTGTCAGACAGGATTTGAAAAAATAATCCAACTGTGTGTTTATAAGAGGCATATATAAAGTATAAGAAAGGTGAGAATTAAAAATAGGTACTCCAGTGGTGCCTGGGTGGCTCAGTGGGTTAAAGCCTCTGCCTTCGGCTCAGGTCATGATCTCGGGGTCCTGGGACTTCAGCTCAGGTCATGATCTCGGGGTCCTGGGATCGAGCCCCACATCAGCTCTCTGCTCAGCAGGGAGCCTGCTTCTCTCTCTCTCTTTCTCTCTCTCTCTCTCTCTCTCTCTCTCCCCACATCAGCTCTCTGCTCAGCAGGGAGCCTGCTTCCCTCTCTCTCTCTCTGCCTGCCTCTCTGCCTACTTGTGATCTCTGTCTGTCAAATAAATAAATAAAATCTTTAAAAAAAAAAATAGGTACTCCACATGAACAGTAATGGACAGAAAAATTGTGTAGCTATATTAATAATCTGACAGAAGACTTTTCAACAAAAAAAAATTTTTAAGAAAGTTTAATTCATAATGAGAAAAGATTTAATTCATCTGAAAGACATTGTGTAATGAACTTATACATGTATAATAATATGGGTTCAACATTACTAAATCAAAAATGGACAGAGCAATAAAACAGACAAATCTACAACTATGGTGTGAAATTTTAACAAACCTTTTTCTTTTTTTTTTTTTTAATTTTATAATTAACCCCTAACAGGGTGGTACATTTTTTTTTTAATTTTATTTTTTATAAACATATAATATATTTTTCCCCCAGGGGTACAGGTCTGTGAATCGCCAGGTTTACACACTTCACAGCACTCACCATAGCACATACCCTCCCCAATGTCCATAATAACCCCACCCCCCCTCTTCCAACCCCCCTCCCCCCAGCAAACCTCCGTTTGTTTTGTGAGATTAAGAGTCATTTATGGTTTATCTCCCTCCCAATCCCATCTTGCTTCATTTACTCTTCTCCTACCCCCTTAACCCCCCCATGTTGCATCTCCTCACCCTCATATCAGGGAGATCATATGATAGTTGTCTTTCTCCGATTGACTTATTTCGCTAAGCATGATACCCTCTAGTTCCATCCACGTCGTCGCAAATGGCAAGATTTCATTCTTCTGATGGCTGCATAGTATTCCATTGTGTATATATACCACATCTTCTTTATCCATTTGTCTGTTGATGGACATCTAGGTTCTTTCCATAGTTTGGCTATTGTAGACATTGCTGCTATAAACATTCGGGTGCATGTGCCCCTTCGGATCACTACGTAACAAACCTTTTTCAATAATTGTATTAGAACAATGAAAAAGGCAGAACTCATTAACAAGTGAAAAATGTATATTCCCATCATTTGAACAAGAAATATTTATCAAAATTGACCATGTAATTTGGCTATAAATCAATTCTCAATAGATTTCAAAGTGTTGGAATCATAAAGTACATATTCTTTGGCTGAAATTCAAATGAGATATAAATGTTTATCAAAAGATAACTAGAAAATCTCCATTTATTTGGAAATTAAGAAATTACTTTCCAACAAACTTGACTCAGTAGATTTAAAATCCATTGATAATTCTTCCTAAATCATTTATTGTTATGTGATTATAGAATGATAATTTTTCTTATTTTATCATTCTTTCTTCCTTTCTAGTTAGCATTACACTATAAGGAAAAGTTATCCTTCACACTCTTTGTCATTTATTTATTCAT